TGTCTGAGGTAAAACTCTGGTTGGTGCTGAAAAGAGGTGAGATGCACGGAGACAAGTACTTGTGACCAATCAGGGGACCCTCTACGTGCTGAGACAGAGGATGGAGCGCCACTTCTCTGGATGGGTCTCCGGCTCCCTGATCCTCTTAGTTTGAATTCTTTTCAGGATTAACTCTTTTCTGGAAACCTCTCTGATATTTCCTGGAAGCCACTTAAGAGTCAGAAACCTTTAGGGGACCGGGGAGATGGCTTGGTAGAATAAGCACCTGCCTGGCAAATGCAAGGGCCTGAGTTCAATCCCCGGTTCTGCAAAAAAAAAAAAAAAGAAAAAGTAAAAGAAAAAGAAACCTTTAGGGCTGTGATCAGTGCCCCTTCAGGTCCTGTGACCATCAGAAAGGTCAAAGTCTACTTCTACCCTACCCCTCCCCGCTCATGGCTTGTCCACTTGCGGGCCCCCAAAAGCCTAGCACCTGTAGTCCTCAGGGATTCACAGACAGGCCCAGGCCCAGGCAATGTCACCACAGGAATCCTGTGTCTGCCTTCAAAAAAAAAAAAAAAAAATGCAGACTCAGGAAAGCAGCAAAAATCCAAACCGGAAATTACAGTGTCTCCTGCCTTCCTCCAACTCCCATGCTTTGGATTTCACAGTTTCAAAAACTTTTTTTGCACTTGACTGTCACTGAAGTCATGGATAGCAGATAAAAGAGGCAAGTGTGGCCATTTTTATAGGTGAACAAACTCAGGCCAGGAGGGCAAAAGCTTGCTGAGATCACGTAGACAGCCAATGGCTGACCTCAGACTGAAACCTAAGGTGAAGCTCGCCTTAATCTGAGTTTGTGTCCATGACAGAGAAGGAAATAGGAAACAACACAGGAGATGGCGAGCCAGAAGCAGGAAGAAAAGTGGCAGGGGCCCAAATTCTGTCACCAAGGCCCAGGTCACCACCCACTAGGTGCAGACGCCTGTGGCGGGTTTAGTTGATTTCTGCTGCCACCTAGTGGCACTTGTGAGGTACACCAGCCAAGATGGTCTTTGACAAGCCTTTGGGTGAGTGTCTTAGCACATAGGCAGCGGTTCTCAAAGATGCCCATGAGGTCAAAACTATTTTCCTGTACCCCTAAGCCATCAGCCGCTTTTCTCCATCTCATTCCTCATGCGTGTGCTTGAAGCTTTCCCAAGACCGCCTGCCCAGGGAGAGCGCATAGACTGAAAGCCGGCGCAGACGGGGGAACTCAGCTGCCTGCCATTTACCCCAAACGTTAGCCAGAGCAGCAAAAAGAAAAATCAGGGCCAGCCTTGTCATGATTCCTGCTTGGAAGGAATATTTGCATGAATTATTTTACTTATGCTGACAAGTAGTGAGTTTATAATTATATTTTAAATGAAGAAATATTTTTAAATGTCTTAGTTTTTTATTTCTGGTAGATATTGGTAAATAAGCAAAAGTTCTCTGGGGCTCTTGATTATTTAATCTTTTAATAGTAGTAAAGTTTTATTAAAAGGAGGAGGAGAAACAGGCTCTGCAGAATGAGTTTGAGCCAAGTAAAAGCAGGCAGCGGAGTACACCCCACAATGTGGGGCTGCGGATGGGCCACAGCGCAAGAGGAGCAGCGGCCGGCCCTCGGAATTCCCAGGAGCGAAAGGCCCGCTGCTGATCAGCGCTGCTGAGCCAAAGCTGTGGTGCTCAGTGCGTCTTACTTGCCGAGTTCAAAGTTCTTTGCCTCCAGGACAGCGATGACACCAAAACTGGTGCTTTGCTTGGAATTCTGTTTTTATCGTTTTTTGGAAACAACCCCATCTCGTGAAAGGCATTCATTCTTAATGTCAAGGGAGTCACTGCCTAATCCTGAGCTGCCCGCAGGCAAAGTCCCTGTCATTACTGGCACAGAACTGCGTGAAGTTAGACTGCACACTTTTTCGAGGGTGTGCTGGAATGAGAGAAAGCCACGCACAATATGCTGACTGAAAAAAAAAAAAATCCCAAAGCTACTGGCACCGAGAGCTGCACACAAGGTTACCTTCCTCACGCACCCGTAAAAGGAAGTGGGCACGAACATGGGTGAGCACTCCCTGTTTCACGAAATTGGTCAGGGCTGGGGTCAAGTTTCTACGTTAGAGCTGAGTTTCATTTATTTCCAGCCCTGGTGCTTTTCTGGGGGAAACTGGTTGCACAAAGCGTGTTCAGGCCGTCACCTCCTCCGCGAGGGCATGTAGGGTCAACAAAAGCCCTTGCAGCTTTGCTGAGGTGTGCGGATGGCTGAGCCAGGGGGAGCCTGCAGAGCTGTTGCCCAGCAATAGCCCTGCTCCGTGTGCATGAAAAAGTGCTTTTTATGATAAAGCATAAAACGAACATATGCTCACTGCAAAGAATTAAAATACTTTATTGAACACAAAGAAACCATCAAAGTAGAAATTGAAAACCTTCTGCAAGCTCATGTCCCAAAAAGTCACTATGAAGGTTGATATAGGATGTTCCCAACGTTTTTTGGTGCCCAAACAATTTGTATGTATAAGATATATTGTAAAAAGAAAGTGAGTAACATGCTTTTTCCTGCCATATCATTTGTGGATTTATTACATTTCTGACATAATATGTCATAATGGATAATACGTCCATCGCAAGGTGTGAAAGTTTTGTCTCATTCTTTTCAGTGGCTCTGTGACCCTCTTCGAGAGGGTGGGTGTGTCTCTACTGGTTTAATTCACTTCTGGGTTGATGGACACGTGGAAAGTCTCTAAATTTCTATTATTCCAGACTGTTCTCGATGATGATTATGATGCTTCCTTTATTTTCAAAAAAAAAAAAAAAAAGCGTATGTTTCCTTTATTTCAAACACTGTCCATGATTGCTGCTGCCCAGAGTCTGGACATGAAGAAGACTCAGGTCTGGCTTTCCAGGGAGGACACAGTGAGCAAGAGTAGGTCACAGAGGTGACTGTGACACAGGTGGGACACTGTGGAGCTCTCTGGTGGAAAGGCCATGGAAGGTGAAGGCAGAGGAAGGATTATGAAGCCTTAAGCTGGGCCTTGAGTGGGGACCTTGCTATCCCTGGAGATGGGTTGAGGTTGTCCAGGCGAAAGAACCACAGAGCAGGGTTATGAAGGGAGGTGGACGACTGCTCCTGCTCCAGAGGGCCCACTGTCCCACTCAGTGAGCTCTCAGCCAGTGTTTGGGTACCCATGATGTACCTGGCCCTTGATGGAATGGGGGAAGTGGTTAAATCCCAGGCAACCTGCAGAGTAATGGAGGGCAGGGAAGGAAGCTCCAGTGACACTTAAGAAGGCCTTCAGTGATTGCTTGAGACCCCAAAACGATGGGTCCCAACAAATTTCTCTAATTTTCACTGCCAAGTGGTCAGTACCTTTGCTGCTAGTGTTGTCTCCTAAGGTGGGCCACAAGGACAGTGTGCCTTCTGGGAGACTGGTGATCAAAATTCTTACCAGGGGCTTGAGGCCACTAGCACCTCGGCTTCCTCATCTGTAAGCTGGTTCAGCAACACTTTCCTCTGTGATCTGTCATCCAAGGGGCACTAAGATGATGGAGGAAATTGGAGACATGCTTAGATACCTGGCGAAAGCTCATATTCCAGTGGGCTGGGGATATAGCTCAGCAGCATAAGCACCTGCCTAGCAAGTTTGATCCCCAGTACTGAAAAAAAAAAAAAAAAAACCTGACACTCCTGAGCCACCAGGAGTGCCCAGTGGAAGGCCCTGCCTGGTCTCCTGAAACCACTGCCTCCAAATAAACTGAGCCACCAGGACTTGTGCCAGCATGTGGCCTTGAGGAGACAGACCTAAGAGAGATGTTTCAGCGCAAGTGACAGCAGAGACTTTGGGTAGACCTGCAAGGGAATCAAGTATGAGGAACATCCCTTCTCCAGCACCCTTGGCACCTGCCCAGGCCGAGATGGACAGAAAGACCCAGCTCTGTTGCTGACAGAGACTAACACACCAGCATGGGGTTGCTGTGGCGCCTCTTGTGTTGTCCCCAACACCTGAGACGGCAGAACCACACAGCAGGTGCTCAGCAAATGTGTGGTGATTGAGTTAATGGATATATGTGTCCTGCTAGAGAGAGGACCTTAAGGTTGTGTGTCTCTGGGTGCCTTCTCCAGCCACCATGCTCTGCCCTCCTGACCCAGGGAAAGGCTGGGAGGCCACCATCCATAGCTGCTGCGCTCACTTGAGTGGAGCAAGTTTCCCTCTGAGCCAGTGACATCTCCAGGGGCCTGAAGAGAGAAGAATGAGGATGGAAGGTACTTCCTGGAAGAACCGTCAGGGTACTTCCTGGCCAAGCTGCTCAACTGATGGCATCTGAAAGCAGAGAGCAGGGGAAGAGCCAAAGTGAAGGGGGTCGAGGACTAGATCCTACCCCTGGATAGACTCCAGCTCTCAGGGTTCCCAAGCACGCCCAGAAGTGAAGCATGTACTCCTGGATGCCAGGAGTTGAACAGCTCTCCTCTGCGCTGCCCTTCCACACCGATGTTCCCCTCCTGGAGCCAGCTGACTGTGGCCTGAGACCTTGCAACTGTGAGCCAAACTAAATTCTTTCCTTTAGGTTGTGCACATCAAGTATTTCATCCCAGTAACAGAAAAGTGACAAACACACCTTTCCACACAGTTCCAGCAGGAAAGAAAATACAGGACAGTGAAATCACTCTAGAAATGTTTTGCTTTGTTTTGTTCTCCCTGAAGTAATACCCACCACCATCCAACCTCAGGGACAACCTCTCAAGTACAGCGCCATTCGCCAGCAACATGTCACTGCTCAGGGCGGACAGTGCTTTCGAGGAAGTCTGCTCCTGGTTGTCCCCTCCAACTCCTGCACCTTCCCCTGCCCACCTCAGGCTCTTGGCAGAAAGGCTGCCATCCATAGCCCCTTTGTTCACCTGGGGGATACAGGCTGCTCTCTGGGCTGGTGACGCCACCAGGGGCTTCCCCTGAGGAATGAATGCGGGTGGCTGATGTTTCCTGAAAACCAGGCAGAGTCATCAGACACAGTAACACCCCAAGAGGTTTTCAAAGCTTTTATTTGAAAACTTAAGAGTTAACTCCAGCTCCTGAATGAGTCGCTAATGAGTTCACAACAGCCACGGGGGTAGGGCCTGTTGTGCTCCAGCGGTTTCCAGGAGTTGGCCCAGAGATAACCTAGATAGTGACTGCCTGGCCTGCGGTCCATTGCTTCTTCCTTAAGCAGCAGCCTGGCAGTCCAGCCGGAAGTGAGGGGAGCCTGGACTTCTGTGAAGGGGGTGCCGAGGCCAGCAGCATGCTACCAGAGAGGCCACCTGGCTCAGGGCCCAGATGCCCAACGTCCTTTCTCTGCCACAAATTCACTGCTACTCATTCTGTCGATGCTACCAGCACTCACTTATAGGAGAATAAAGCCTTGTTCAGGTGACATCAACCCTGGGGACAAAAGGAGGAAGCATAAGAAGGTTATCTTCCAAGGTGATCAGCAGCCCCTAAGGCTGAACCTCCTGCTGCAGACCACCTTTGTGAGGCATGAGTGTCCAGTCTGTTATCACCATGAACACTGCAGGAGGGAAGCCTGGGATTATATGTAAAGGTATTAGAAGGAGGTCGTGTCCTCTCTTAAATATGAATTTTTCTGGAATTGGCAGTAGGCTACTGAGGTCTGGAGCATGCATGTCAGGGCAGAGAGCAGATGGGCATTGTCCAGGAAGGAGCTAGGTCCAGGATCCCGGTGGGCAGGCAGGGATGGCACAGCTGGACTTGGGAGCCTTGGAAAAGCCTACGAGCTGGCTGCTGGCCAGCGACTAGGATGACATTTCTGCCACCAAAGGTCTTTTTCCTTATACTGTCTGACACTGCTTTCTCCATGTGAACAGATAAAAAATTAAGTCACTAACCCTATCACAAAACAACAACCTCACACTGCATTTTACTTCAAGTGTCCTTGTGTCACTAGGACACGTGGCCTAGAAGAGAAATAACACAGGGGTGAATAAGAAGTGCTCTGTTTCCATTTAACTTGAAGCAGCTGGATGTTTTAGCCCCTGAAGACATCTGGAAACAATTCACATGTCATTTCTGTCACCCATGCCCAGGGTCTCTTGAGAAAGTCACCGTCCTGCTCCTTCCTGGGAGCCAGAGGGCCCTTTATTCCTCTAGCATGCATTTCTTCACTCTGCTTCGATCTCTACGATGAGGGAGCCATTCGTTTGCACATCACGAAAGAGCCCACATTGCTGCTCCCTGAAGCACGACTGCCTGAAGTCTCAGACCTACCTAATGAGTTCAAGTCCAGGTCGTCTTAAAAAGCTTTGATCCGGGCACAGTGGCACACCCTTATAACCCCAGTACTCTGGGAGGCTGGGGCAGGAGAATCACACATTCAAGCCCAGCCTGGGCAATTGAGTGATGCAGCGAGATCCTATCTTAAAAAACACAAAGGGCTGAGAATGCAACTCAGTGCACAGGCTCTGGGTTCGAGACCTGGCCACAGGAGGCACTGAAGCAACCATAAAAATGCCTTGACATTCCTTGATTCTCTGTTAGAGCAGGAAGTTGAACACTTTGGGCTGGGGTTGTTCAAAACAGGGCCCTAGAGCAGTTGCTGGGAACCTTCCTGCCCCACTTGCCTGAAGGACACCAGTCTCGTCCCTCATGGTGGCAGTCCACTTTCCAAAGGAAGACAGATGCCCAAGCCCAGGCAAGAAAGAACACTTTCAGGAAAAGTGCCTAACTTTCTGAACAGCCAAATGAAGAACAATCATGACTTGGCCCCTCGGAAACTTCCTTCTCCCTGAAGTAGCCAGTGAGCAGCGTGGCCAAGAGAAGCCAGGGCGACAATGTGGGCAAATATCCAGCCTGGGATCTGTGAGGTCTTGGCAGAGGAACCATTTGGTAGCTGAAGGTTTAATGATATGGAAAAATGGTCTTGAACTAGCAAATGGGGGACAGTGGGTGACATACATCATATAAAGTAGACTTGGCTCTTGGGGATACACATAAAATGTGTGGCACAATAGTAACAAGCTCTTGCGATGTGACTGTAGGAATCTATTTTCTTCTTTCTGTTTTGTCCACAATAACAAACACTCTGATTTTAGCACAGGAGCTTTAAAAGTGGGGAGCAGCTCAAGTATGAGCACAGCTTTAAGAACAAGACAGCATCTCTGCCCTGCCCTGGATGACACCCAGATGCAGTGACCCTTTACCAAGGTTTAATTATGCAAAATGTGTTACTCCCCTTTTCCTTTTACACAAAAGGACAAAGAGCCAGAAGAGCTGTGAATGTCAGTGCTTAGGAAAATGCTAAAAGCATTTATTTAAAGCCAGCTCCCAGGGCTGGTCCAGGCCTCACTGGGGCCAGCCTGACTGATGGCACCCTGTCCTTTCTTCCAGGGTTGGGTCCCATCATGCTTCCCATCAGAATGCTGTGACCCCTCAAAGGCACCTGCCAGCCCCTGGCCCCCAAAGGAGGCAACAGACTCTCTGGACTTCTGTGGTAAAGAACACACTCCCTAAAAGAATTTGTAGTCATCAAGCCTGAAACAAAATGGTTTTTTGGTTGACTAGACAGTCTAGTGACTCACTTCTCTGTGTCTTTTGAGTTTGGCAGGTAACCAGAGAAGCTTTGGGGCCAGAGAACAAGGGAACAAAAGCAAAAAACAGGAAGAGGAGGCATGAAGGAGCTATTGGAGGGTGACCATGTTCCATCCAGTGCCACTGCTGAGTGGCCATTGAGTGGCAGCTCCACATGAGGTGCCTGGCAGTGAGGGGTTGGGGACCACTGCAGTGCCGCTGGGACCTTCACTTGGTTGGAAGCTGGGGGAGCCAGCAGGCACCTGGGGTACTGTGGGGCAGGGCTGTGGGTGGACAGAGGTGTGCCCCATCCTGGCTGATACATCAGGCAGGTGATCTGAGGAAGAGACTGCTCTCCTAGTGCAGGAGGACGAAGGCTACAGAAGCCAAGACAAGGGGGAAGGGAGGAGTGAGGGGAGGGAGTCAGCCAGGAGCACAGGAGCATAGACACAGTGAGAGAGAGGATGGCAGCTCAGGACTGAGGGGTTGTGAGCTGAGGGAGGAAGTAGCACCAATGGTGAGCTGTGTCTGGGGGGCAACCCTGTGGGCACTGAAACTCGGGTTTCCCTTGTTAGAGGCTTCCTCAGGCTGCAGGGATCTTTCTGTGGTGGGGAAGGAAAAAGAAAGTAGAGCGGGAGGCAAGGTATGGTGGCAGGTAGCTGTCTTTTCTGGCTTCAGGAACCTGTTGGTTGCCTTCAGACTTAGGCTCTGTCTGACGGTTGGCATGGAGTTGGTGTTCCACAGGGGCAGGAGGATGGGCACCTTGGTGGGGCCTGAGGGACTGCATTTATACCGAGAACCTAAGTACACTTCTCCCAGGTCTGTGGGAGCTGATGATGGGAGAATGTGTGGTGGAACTGGCTGCACCAGGTGCATTCTGGGCCCACTGTGGTCCCAGTGACTCATCACCCTGCTAGGCCCTGTGAATGACCCGCCTCAGTGACTGAGGGACATTTCAGAGATTATGTTTTCATAATGAAGAAAGGAATTTCACATTCACAAATGAGTGGGAAGGAAGCACACTGACCTGGCTGGTGTTCATGGGCTTGTCACACTGTGGTCCCCACGCAGTGCCTGCAGGGAGAGCTCATAGCCCAGGAACATGGCGGCGCTTGTAGGGAAACCCCGCACGGCATTCACGGTGATGCCTCTGAAAAACACCTTTGTCCAGGAAGTCAGTTATTCCAGGGCCGCCCCCACACCCTCTGTGATGGTACTGTCCACCCTGGCCCCTGGCCCTGACCAAAACCCAGAGACCTGTGCAGGCAAAGACCACAAGGGATAGTCTAGTCATGTGCCTGCCCTGACCCAAGTTACATTTGATAGCATTTTTCCTTCTGGACTCTGCTATTGAAGCACAAAGATTAAGGGCAAATGGCTGAGCCAT